TAGGGTTTAGGGTTTAGGGTTTAGGGCTTAGGGTTTAGGGTTTAGGGTTTAGGGACGACTTCAATGTTCCAGAGCCGCTGCGCGGCCCGTCTCCCCACTCATGGAGATGCTCATGAAAATGAGCGCGGACGGGGCAGAAAACACTGGATTTGAAGCATTGTGGGTGCGGGGTTCACGGTCGCATGTGCGGCGCCAGGCTCGGATGTCCTATTTTTATAGGAGGTCAAGGCAGCATGCCGATGAAGACAAAGAGCTGTGCATACACAAACTCGAAGTCCTAAGCCCCTGGTCCACTGCCTACACCGAAACCCTAAACCCGCAACCCGATTCCTTAAACCCTAAACCGAACCCGAAACCCTAAACCCCAAACCCCAGCTAGGAAAGAGCGCTGTGCTGCATCGTGGAGAACTACCAGGAGCAGGACGGCGTTCGTGTGATGCGCTCAGGGACGGAATCGTCTTGGGGGGGATGCCGCGTAAATGCGCTCAGCCTTTCACCCTAGCTGCAGACTTTGCACAGGAGGCCCTAACGTCTAACTAGACCCTAAACTCGCTTAAAAAGGAAGATGCACCTGCAGAAGATTCTCCACCGAATGGGCAGCATCAGGAGGATAGTTTCTTGTACCGTGGCGCGTCAGGGACAGTGCAGTGAGGAGGTGAGCATAGTTAGGCATAGTTGTCTCGTCATGGATCGGGCTTGCTTGAACTCGTTGAGCTGCGAAAATCAGGGACTTCCGCTCAGGTCCCGCGTGCCTTGGTTCCTTTCCTGCTGGGTCAGGACAGCGGGGCAAGGGGGGCTGGGTCAGGACAGAGTTTAGGGTTTAGGGTTTAGGGTTCAGGGGAACTGCACCCTCTGGGTGTGAAGTTGTTTTGTTGTGTACTTGTCATTTTCGGCGTGGGGATGGTTTGCCCCTGAACCCTAAGCCCCCAAACCCTGAAGCCTAAACCCTAAACAGATCACAGCCCCAAACCCTAAACCCTAAACCCTCAACCCTAAACCCTAAAACCCTAAACCCTAAACCTTCAGCCCTAAACCCTAAACCCTAAAGTGCCCGCAACCTCTCACACCCCAAACCCGTCCCCCCCCCCCCCCGCCAAACCCTCCAGGGCTCCCCAAAATCCCGATAAGGCCAAGAGCCCCCTGAAGCCTGTCCAGCCCAAACCCTCTCAGATCCCCCACCAAACACCCCCTAGACCCCTAAACCCTAAACCCTAAACCCTAAACCCTAAACCCTAAACCCTAACACCTAAACCCTAAACCCTGAACCCTGAACCCTGAACCCTAAACCCTAAAACGCCAACGCCCTAAACCCCCTAAACCCTAAGCCCTGAATCCTAAACCCGAAGCCCGAAAGCTCAAGGAGTTCTTCCCCTTCGTCAAGACGGTCAAAGAAGAGCGTCCGGCAGCGAAGGGCAAGGCCGGTAGAGCCCAGGGGGCTTGGGGCTTAAGTTTCTTTTTATTGTTTTGTATTCTATTTTTGGGTTTTTTGGTTTTGTTAGGTTTTTTTGGGCCGGTAAGGCCTAGAAGCCTGGGGCTTAGGGTGTTTGGTTTTTTTGGGATTTTTTTTTTTTTTTTTTTTGGGGGGGGGGGGGGGCCGGGGGTTCGGGGGGTTCTGAGTTGTTTTTGGGTGTTCGTTTTTTTTTTTTTTTTTTGTTTTGTGTTTTTTTTGGTTCTTGGGGTGTTGGGGGTTCTGGGGCTTCGGTTTGCTTGGAGCGATGCAGGGAGTTAGGTGCTCAGGCTGGGCGTGTGGGACGCGGCTTGCGAGTTGGCCTACGCGAACATCGGGGGTCGTTGCGTGTTTCAAAAGTTTAGGGTTTAAGGGGTTAAGGGTTTAAAGTTGGGATCCTTAATAGGGATTCTAGTACCCCTCATGAGAATCCCGATTATGGACTGTTAGTATAAGGGGGAACATCCCAAGTTTGAGGGTTTAAGGGTTAGCCGTGTTTCCCCTAAACCCTAAACCCTAAACCCTAAACCCTAAACCCTAAACCCTAAACCCTAAACCCTAAACCCTAAACCCTAAACCCTAAACCCTAAACCCTAAACCCTATACCCTAAGCCCTAAACCTTAAACCCTAAACCCTAAAAGCCCTAAGCCCTAAACCCTAAGCCCTAAACCCTAAACCCTAAACCCTAAACCCTAAACCCTAAACTGTTTCAGCTAAGCGATGAGTGTTGTGCCTCAAACACCGGGGAGAGGGATCCAAAGCTGACATCCTTTCTCGCACGGGCCGCGCTGAGACGTGGGGAGAGTCCTCGGGGATGAAGGGGATCCGGAGCCCCGTTTTGGGTTTTGGGTTTAGGGTTTAGGGTTTAGGGTTTAGGGGGTTTGGGGTTTGGGGGGTTTAGGGTTTAGGGTTTGGGGTTCAGGGTTTGGGGTTTAGGGGTTTAGGGGGTTTAGGGTTGAGGGTTTTGTTTTTTTTTTTTGGGGGGGGGGGGGGGGGGGGGGGGTGGCAGCCTTGGCCAGATCCTTGAAGCCGGAAGCCTTCTTCCCCTGGCCTCCCCCGGGTTTCGGGTTGCTTGGAATTCCCAACCAAAGCACAGGTTCGTAAGGGAGAGATGGAGGCCAGGACCATAAACCCTAAACCCTAAACCCTGAACCCTGAACCCTGAACCCTGAACCCTAAATCCTCTAGGTTTGAACCCCTTTGCTGCGTCAGGCGAAGAGTCCGGGGCTTAGTGCTGACAATGGCTCGGTCGCCTGCATGACACAAGTTCGGGGGAGTTAGCCCCAAAGCCCGAGACCCTAAGCCCGAGACCCTAAAGCCCTAAACCCGAAACCCTAAACCCTGAACCTAGACCCTGCCCTAAAGCAACACCCCAAGATGATGCATGGATTCACCAGAAAGCCACGACAACTAACCCCTTAAACCCTGAACTCCCTAAACCCTAAACCCCAAACCGCCCGAGGCAAGAAGTGAAAGCCCCGCGGACTCCCTTTCCTTCGCTGAACTGCACCCCTGGGGGAAGTTGGGGCCAAAGTGCGGAAGTGCCAGCGCAACATGCCCCTACCCCCCCCCCCCCCCCGGTCAGTATTGGGTTTTAGGGTTGAGGGTTGAGTTCCATCGAACTCTCTGTCTTCCCCGGCTTCAGCACCCTAAACCCCAAACCCTGAACCCCAAACCTTCAACCTTAAACCGTAAACCCTGAACCCTGAATCCTAAGCCCTGCACAAGCCCTGGCAACAACTTCCCTGCGGAGCCATCTCACTCTAGAGGGATCCGAAGATCGGTCCCTGCGTTAAGGGAGTTTAAGGCTTGGGGTTTAGGGCTTAGGGCTTAGGGTTTAGGGTTTGGGGTTTAGGGTTTAGGGTTTAGGGTTTGGGGTTTAGGGTTTAGGGTTTAGGGTTTAGGGTTTAGGGTTTAGGGTTTAGGGTTTAGGGACTCGGAGCGGTTGGCCGCTCCTTTCGACAACATTTGCAAGTGTTAGTTTCTGTTCGTTTTGCTCGTTCTTTACATGGCCTTCTTGGCCCGATCCCTGCGGCCAAGTGAGCATAAACCCTACACCGGGCTAAACCGGCCGAAGAAACCCTAAACCCTAAACCCTAAACCCTAAACCCTAAACCCTAAACCCTAAACCCTAAACCCTAAACCCTAAACCCTGAACCCTGAACCCTAAACCCTAAACCCTGAACCCTAAACCCTGAACCCTATACCCTAAACGCTAAACCTAAACCTTAAATCCTAAACCCTAAACCCTAAACCCTAAACCCTAAACCCTAAACCCTAAACCCTAAACCCTAAACCCTCAACCCTCAACCCTCAACCCTAAACCCTAAACCCTAAACCCTAAACCCTAAACCCTAGCGGCCCGCGCGCTTAAAGAAGTTCGCGTAGGGAGACCTCCAGACCGGCCCAGCTGCGGTTTTGGAGAGGGGGGCGGCTTGGAACTTGGCCATCCCGGATTGAGGGTTCGGGGTTTTGGGTTTAGGGTTTAGGGTTTAGGGTTCAGGGTTTAGGGTTTAGGGTGTAGGGTTTAGGGTTTAGGGTTTAGGATTTTCTTTTAGGGGTCTATGGGTCTGGCTATTTTTTTCAATAGAGTTTTCATAACGGTTTTTTAGGGCTGTGAATAGGGTCCTGTTTCGGTTTTATAGGTTTCATAGGGGAGATCAAGGAGGGGGGGCTAGGGGTCTTGACTTGGCTTTGAAAGTCGTGAGGGTCGACTTCTAGGCTTGTGGGCGCCGTGCTTCCATCCCAGAGAGTGGAGTCAGGGTTTGGGTGTCTAGGGTTTGGGGTTTGGGGTTTAGGGTGCAGGGTGTAGGGTGTAGGGTTTGTGGTTTAGGGCTTAGGGTTTAGGCTTTGGGGTTTAGGGTTTGGGGTTCAGGTTGTCTTTCGGCAGTATCCCTGAGAGCCCGGCTGGAAAGTGCAGTTGCCGGCCCAAACAATAGACCCCAAATCCTAACACCTAGACCGTAAACCCTAAACCCTAAACCCTAGACCCTAAACCCTAAACCCTGAATCCTAAACACTAAGCCAACTCTTTAACAGAAGTTGCAAGACGCCCGCCGCTCATGCAGTTAGAGCTTCTGGAGCTGTCTTCACAGGACAGGCGAATTTATGCGTCGAAAGCAACCCAAAGGGTTCAGGGTTCAGGGTTTAGGGTTTAGGGTTTCGCATGCGAACTTTGCCTCCACCCTGTTGATCTCAGCAGGTGCCTGTGACAGTGCCTCGGTTCTTTGAGGCAGAAGAGTCGAGCGTGTGGCCCGCTTGTGCGCTCCGTTGCTGGCTCGGCTCACTTCTTGCGTTCCAGGAAAAACACAGCAGATCATGACTGAGGTGGAGGGCCACTTTTTCCCTCAGGCTTCCTTCAGATCCTGCTCCCGGTAGCTGACGCCAAGCCCCGAAGGCCCTAAACCCCAAACCCCAAACCCCAAACCCTAAACCCTAAACCCTAAACCCTAAACCCTAAACCTAAAACCCTAAACCCTAAAGCCCCTTGGCAAGCCTGGCCTTAAGTGGTTCCCTCCATCGCACGCGCCACGCGTGCGCTTCGCTGGCGCCATGTTCTCCAACCTGGATTTACGGAGCATGCGCCTTTCTTGCGGAACGGGTTTAGGGTTTAGGGTGCGCCTTTCTTGCGGAAGGAGTCTGGAAATAAGCTCCCGCAGTCAAGGAACCCGTCTTCTTCACTTCCTTCCCCTATACCGGGTACCCTGAAAGCCTCAAAACCTAGACCCTAAACCCTACACTACACCCTATATACACCCTAAACCCTAAACCCTAAACCCTAAACCCTAAACCCCAGACCCTAGATTCTAAACCCTAAACCCCTTCAAGTTCCTTGTCACTTAGGCGCTCCTTGCAGTCGCAGTCGCGGTCTCAGCAGCGGCTTCTGAAGTCCCAGGCGCTGGTGGGAGCTTCGGGTGTTGGCTACAGGGTTTAAGGTTTAGGGTTTAGGGTTTAGGGTTTAGGGTTTAGATTTAGGCTTTAGGGGTTCAGAGGTTTTGGGGTTCTTGGGTTTGGGGTCGAGCCAACAACAGAACGATGCAACCTTGAATACCGAGGACATTGCCTTAAGCATGGGTTAGCTAGACCCTATATCCTGCACCCCTGAACATCCAAGGATCTGAGCGCCTTGAACGCAAGGCCGAAGCCCAAAACGCAGAAACCCCAACCCCCAGACCCCCAAGCCCCAAAATTTACACCCTAAAGACCCTAAATCCATGTAAATCCCAAATCCCAAATCCCAAAACCCTAAGCCCTAAACCCCTTGGTTAATATGTACCATGAACCTCCAAGAGGCCGCCCTTCAGCACAGGGCTTTGGCTTCACGGCCCGCAGCTCCTCTTCGTTTCGGGGGGGGGGTCTTTAAGGCTTAGGGTTTAGGACCCTAAACCCTAAGCCCTAAACCCTAAGCCCTAAACCCTAAACCCTAAACCCTAATCCTTAAAGTTTTGGGTTTCGGCTTTAGGTCTTGAGGTTTAGGGCTTAGGGCTTGGGGTGTTAGAGGCCTTAGGGTTGAGGGCTTTAGGGTTTACCTAGGGCTTAGGGCTTGGGGCTTTAAGGTTTTCGGGTTGCTGTTTTGAAGGGCTTGGGGTTCAGATGTTTCGGGCTGAGGCAGTAGGGCTGCGCGTTTTGATGGGGCCAAGGCCTAAACCATAGCCCCGAATCCCTCTAACCTCTCCCTCTTCTTCCCCTGATCGGAAAAATGCATGAAAAACCCAACTTGGTACCCTAAACCCGAAGCCCGAAACCCTAAACCCTAAACCCTAAACCCTAAACCCTAAACCCTAGACCCTAGACCCTAAACCCGAAACCCTAAACCCTAAACCCTAAACCTTAAACCCCCCCTCCCCCCCAAGTGAGCGACCTAGGTCAGCAGCCAGCAAGTCAGCGGACCCCGGAAGGAGATACCTGAGAACGAGGCCATGGCGGGCACCTTAGGGTTTAGGGATTAGGGTTTAGGGTTTAGGGGTTGAGGGGTTTAGGGGTTTAGGGGTTTAGGGTTTAGGGTTTGGGGTTTAGAAGCCCTTGGGTTTGGGGTTTAGAAGCCCTTGCGTTCCTAGAAGATCCGAAGCGTTCGAACCCCTAGCCCCCATGAGCCCCTCAGGAGAGGGGGTTCTTGTCGCGGTTCAGAACCCCGACTTTTAGGGTTTAGTGTTTAGGGTTCAGGTTCTTGAAAGCAGGTGCGGAGCAGCGCAAGTTGGGATGTTCCCCCTTATACTAGCAATTTGTAGTAGGGGTTATGGTACCCCCTATTATAATCCCTATTGAGGACTGTTCGTGTAGGGGGGAACATCCCAAAGTGTATTCCACACACGCCAACATTGTCCACCTCTCTCTCTCTCTCTGTAGCACAATACATACATACCGACAGACAAACAAACAAACGTTACAGCAAACATACCTACGTACACAGTGTGTACAGTTTCTCATCATGTAGCAGAATATGTCGCATAGTATAGTGTAGCCAAGTTAACATTGCACTGTGGTTGAGATCGTTTGGGAGGTTGATGTCTTGAGCCGGCTGACGCTGGAAGAGCTGCAACAGCTGGTGCTGTCGCCCCCGGTCCTCGACGAAGGCCGGGTCTCCCTCCACCTTTGTGGACGCAACCTTGGCGGTTTAGGGTTTAGGGTTTAGGCTGGGAAAAGGTCATCATGTGTCCATGTGCTTCCAGGTGACTACCAAGCCAAGCTGACCCTTCTCAGCCCCAACCGCATTCCGCTGTCGTCGACGGGCCCCCTGCATCCGCAGTGGGTGCAGGTGCATGTGTACAACCTCAGTGAGAACCTTGCTTTCAATCGGCCTTCTGATTCACTGTCTAGGGTTTAGGAGTACGCCAGTTCTGTTGTCTAGGATGTCTAGAGCCACTGACCCAGCTGTCCTCACGCAGAGTCTTCTCAGACACGCGAAGGAATTTTGTTGGCGCCAACCAGATGCTGACCTTTGCCGAAAGCGGTCCTGCCATAGGAGGTGCCTTTCACGTCGGCGTCGAGGCAAGTAGAACAAAATTGGCATGGTGTCAGCTTCATAAACCCCGAAACCCCAAAACCCTAAACCCCAAACCCGAAATCTTAAGCCCTAAGCCCTAAGCCCTAAGCCCTAAGCCCTAAACCCTAAACCCTAAACCTTAAACCCTAAACCCCACAAGAGCGGCCCGCTGTAGGTCTTCGGTGCCGAGTGGTCCTATGGGGTCTATGGCATCGCTTGTGATCCGCCGCGCTCAGAGACGGCGCACGTCTACGAGTGCAGCGTGTTTGTGGGGTCTACAGCTGCCCGGCTTGGTTTAGGGTTTAGGGTTTAGGGTTTAGGGTTGAGGGTTGAGGGTTGAGGGTTGAGGGTTTAGGGTGTAGGGTTTAGGGTTTACGGTTTAGGGCCAAACTGTACAGCCTGAAGCAGAAGCCCTAGACCCAGAATCCAGAGGTCAGGAGCCAGATGGAAGTGGCCAACATCCTGTTCAACCTCTGCCAAGAATCTTACTCGCCTTTACTTTAGGGTTTAGGGTTTAGTGTTTGGGGTTTAGGGTTTAGGGTTTAGGGTTTCCTTATTTGGTAGGACTATTAAAGTTTAGCCTTTTTGACCTCCTTGGTTATTGGAGAAGTAAGGAATGGCGAGGGCAGGACTACGATGTCTTGAGTCACAACTGCTGCAGCTTCGGCAGGAGGCTCGCACCCCTCTTTGCACGAGCAGCCTCAACAATTCGCAGTCATGTTGCCGTAGATCCGGGAATATACAATAAGGTGTCGGACGAAACAGTGATTTGGGAGAGTTTGTTTTCCAACTCTAGAACCCCGTACTTGTCAAGATCCTTCTAGGAGAAGCCGGACCCACCCAAAACCACCCAACACCCACACTCCAAACCCTAAACCCTAAACCCTAAACCCTAAACCCTAAACCCTAAACCCTAAACCCTAAACCCTAAACCCTAAACCCTAGACCCTAGACCCTATACCCTGAGCCTTGAACCCTACCCACTCTCCTCCCCACAGTTCCCCCTGCAGGTTCGTTGAGGCTCTTGGAGTGGGTCCGATGCCAGACTCCTGGACCTTATTTCGCTTAACTCTTTTTCCTGCTGGGGTTTGGGGATTAGGGTTTAGGGCTTAGGGTCTAGGGTACAGGGTTTAGGGGAAAGTGTGCAGGGCTAAGGCTTAGGGTTTAGGGTTTCGGGCTTAGGGTTGCGGGTTAAGGGTTTATGTTTTAGGGACAGTTCCGAGCATTCGGTCCTAGGTTGGAGAGAGTTGGGAGCAGGGCGAACAACTGTGTGCTGCCAAATGTCTAAACCTCTGCGCGTTTAAACATTTGCTTGCTGAAGCGCTTTAATGCTAGAGCCGCGTTTACACCAAACCCCTAAACCCTAAACCCTAAACATTAAACCCTAAACCCTAAACCCTAAACCCTAAACCCTAAACCCTGAACCCTAAACCGTTTAGCATATTTCAGCTGTAGGGCTTTGCTTTGGAGCATATGCGCAATCACAACCCCCCGGTTGCCAAGACCTATGACAAGCACCCCAAACAAGGTCACAACCAATGGTAGCAATAGTTGCCCTGCTTCTAAAACCCTGACCCTAAACCCTCAACCCTCAACACTTAACCCAAAACCCTCAACCCTATACCCTAAACCCAAAACTCTCAACCCTCAACCAAGGACTGGGTGGACCGCTTCGCGCGCACGCTGCACGCCACACGTGCGGGCATCCAGCAAGCAGGCCAGCTGCAGTTGCGCTCAATGGCGGCTTTTTTGGGGGGCTCCGTAAGCAAAGGGTTTAGGGCTAGGGTTTAGGGTTTAGGGTTTGGGGGTTAGGGTTTAGGGTTTGGGTTTTTTTGGTGTATGGCCTAGCACCCTACCCAGAAATGTGCACAGATAGAGTCGATGCTGGGACTATGGAGGGTTCGTGGGGGAGAAGGTAGAATGACTTTTGATTCCGGCCGCCTTGGCTAAGCGACCCCTGCCTGAGGTTAGGCCCTCACCGTTAGGGTCTCAAACCATGAGGTTACGGAATTTATCAGCAGAATGCATTCGGCTATATGCCAAAACCACCAAATTCCGGGCCTCGAATTTGTTATTAGTCATCACGATGACCCTAAACCCTGAACCCTGAACCCTGAACCCTGAACCCTGAACCCTGAACCCTGAACCCGAAGCCCTAAACCCAATAATCTTAATACTTAGTTCATGGTTCCCAGAGGCCTTGTCAAGTTTTCAGGGCTCTTCGCGGGCGCCCTAAACCCGAAACCCTAAGCCCTAAGCCCTAAGCCCTAAGCCCTAAACCCTAAACCCTAAACCCCAAACCCTCAGAAGCGCTCCCTGAAGGTGATCGGTTGCAGAAGGTCGTTCTCGAGGCCCACGAGATTTTCCAACGAAGCCCCAAAACCTCACAGAAGGTTTAGGGTGTAGGGTTTAGGGTTGAGGGTTTAGAATCCTAAGCCCCAAGCCCTCAACCCTAGAACCCTAAACCCTAGAAGTCTCAACCCTGGAACCCTAAACCCCACAGCCTATAAAAACGCAACCAGTAGAGCTCATGACCCCCAAACCCTAAACCCCAAACCCAAAACCCAAACCCTAAACCCTAAACCCCTAAACCCCTAAACCTTAAACCCCTAAACCCCTAAACCCCTAAACCCCTAAACCCCTAAACCCCCCTAAACCCTAAACCCCTAAACCCTAAACCCCAAACCCCTAAACCCCTACCCCTAAACCCTAACCCCTAAACCCCTAAACCCCTAACCCCTAAACCCTAAACCCCTAACCCCTCAAACCCTAACCCCTAAACCCCTAAACCCCTAAACCCCTAAACCCTAAACCCCTAAACCCCTAAACCCCTAAAAAACCCCTAAACCCCTAAACCCCTAAACCCTAAACCCCTAACCCCTAAACCCCTAAACCTAAACCCCTAAACCCCTAAACCCCTAACCCCTAAACCCCTAAACCCCTAAACCCCTAAACCCCTAAACCCTAAACCCTAAACCCCTAAACCCCTAAACCCTAACCCTAAACCCCTAAACCCCTAACCCCTAAACCCCTAAACCCCTAAACCCCTAACCCTAAACCCTAAACCCCTAAACCCCTAAAAAACCCTAAACCCTTAACCCCTACCCCTACCCCCCTAACCCCTAAACCCCTAACCTAAACCCCTAAACCCCCAAACCCCTAAACCCCTAAACCCCTAAACCCCTAACCCCTAAACCCTAAACTAAAACTCTAGCCTTGCCTCCAAAGACCTGAAGCTCTAAGCCCAAAACCCTAAGTAAGCCCTAAACCCTAAAGCCTGAAACCTGAAACCCTCAAGCCCTGAAGCCCTAAACTGCCCTAAACGCCACAGCCCTAAACCCTAAAGCCCTAAACCCTAAAGCCTGAAACCCTAAACCCCCACGCCCGAAAGCCCTAAACCCTAAACCCCCAAACCCTCAAGCCCTAAACCCTAAGTCCCTGCAGCCCTTAGCCCCAGAACCCTGACCCCACACCGTGACCAGCCGCAGGACGTGCCGGTTCTCTACAGCGTCGCGCGGCCTCACGTGGAGCGCGCCCTGGTTCAGACGCAGGCCGGGACGCTCAGGACCTAGGGTTTAGGATTCAGGGGTTTCGGGTATAGAGTTTCGGGCTAGGGTTTGAGGTTAGGGTTTATAGGGTTTAGGCGCTTAGGCTTTATAGGGCGGGGGGGGGGGGGGGTTTTGGGGGCCGAAGCCCGAAATTCTCTGCCCCAAGCCCAAATCCTAACAGCCTACAGCCCTAAACCCTGCACTCTAAATCCGATAGCCGTCCTGCAAACCCTTAGTTTCACAGAAACGACATACGGAACAAGAATCATTTTCGTTTTTGGCGTGCAGGTTGTTAATTCCCCAACATTCGCGCGTGCGCCAACTCAGCCCTGCCGATGTTTTTCTTGGAAGCACGAGCTTGGGAGTTGGAGAAACCCTAAACCCTAAACCCTAAACCCTAAACCCTAAACCCTAAACCCTAAACCCTAAACCCTAAACCCTAAACCCTAAACGGTTTAGGGCTTAGCAGGGAGAAGCTGGAAGCCGCCATAGTGTTTCGGTTTAGGGTTTATGGGGCCTAGAGGGCTTTTAGGATTTATAGGGTTTAGGGTTTAGGGTTTATAGGGTTTTTGAGGGTTTATAGGGTTTACAGGGTTTATAGGGATTATGGGGTTTATAGGGTTTGTAGGTTTCTAGGGTTTCTCGGGTTTCTGGGGGTTGAAGAATCTGACATAGATATCGTCGACGCGGCCCTCTGCTCACCTTAAGCGCGGTCCCAGGTGTACGTCGTGGAGAAAGGGACGCAGGCAGGGGCGTCTGGGGGGCCTGGGCTTGAATTTCGGGCTCAAGGGCTCAAGGGCTTAAGGGGTTTGGGGTTTAGGGTTAAGGGCTCAAGGGCTTTTGGGTTTAGGGGTCCATGGTTTAGGGTTTAGGGCTAGGGTTTAGGGCTTTAGGGTTTAGGGTTTAGGGTTTAGGGTTTAGGGTTTAGGGTTTAGGGTTTAGGGCTTTAGGGCTTTAGGGTTTAGGGTTTAGGGTTTAGGGTTTAGGGTTTAGGGTTTAGGGTTTCATAAATAACCGCTAAGGCCCCTTACAAGGGTCCCTTCTTAGTCCCTTGACTGGACCCCAAACCCTAAAGCCTGCAAACCCTGTAAACCCCACATAAACCCTACAAACCCTATAAACCCTCTACCCCCTCGAAACCCTATGAACCCTATAATCCCTAAGCCTCAAAAACCCAACAAGCCAGGTGATCCACAAGGCCCAAACCCTAGACCCTCAACCCGAAATTCTCAGCCCTACAGACGCTACAAACCCCTAGAAATCCTATAAACCGTATGAACCCTAAACCCTAAACCCTAAACCCTAAACCCTAAACCCTAAACCCTAAACCCTAAACCCTAAACCCTAAACCCTAAACCCTAAACGTCGGAGGCCAAGCAGGTGATCCACAAGGCTGTGGTCCATGACGTGCCTGTCCTGGTGGAAACCGGCGTGGAGACGGCACGGCCGTACGTCCAGCAGGCGGTTGCGGTAGGGTCTTGTGGGCTTAGGGTGGGAACCTTACTTCTGAACCCTAAACCCTAAACCCTAAACCCTAAACCCTAAACCCTAAACCCTAAACCCTAAACCCTAAACCCTAAACCCTAAACCCTAAACCCTAAACCCTAAACCCTAAACCCTAAACCCGAAACCCCACCCTAAACCCTAAACCCGAACTTCCGAAGCCCTGAAGCTCCAAGACATCCGCTCAGGCCGGCCAGGCGATCCACAAGGTCGTTTGGCATGACGTGCCGGTGATGTATGAGACGGCGCGGCCGTATGTCGAGGAGGTCGTCTAGGGTGTAGGGTTTAGGGTTCAGGGTTTAGGGTTTGGGGTTTAGGGTTTAGAGTTTAGGGTTTAGGGTTTAGGGTTACTCTGCACTTGCTTTCTTACTGTTGGTTCGTAGGGAATGAGGGAATGAGGTACTCTATACCCCCCTATATATACCCTTTAATGGATTACATAGGGCCTACTCAGCAACAGTAAGCTTTAGGTAGCCCCAAATATTGATACTTCTCAAAACGGGAGGGCCGACTCATATACCCCTAAATTCTATCATCCTGGCTATCGGCTATCATACCCCCCGGCCATATAACATAAGCTATAGGTGTGCATCTGGGGGGCTCAAGGTTTGGGGAGCGGACTAGTTTCAGCTCTGTTGCATTCGCAGCTTGAAAAAAACGTGAATGCTGGTTGTGACGTGGATGTTCCAGATGCCAGCTGGAAAAGGCGGTTTATGGTGGATGTTCTACTCCTTGCAAGCAAGTTCCTGGTTGCAACGTGGGCATTCTGGTCGAAAAGTGCACGGTCGCCTCCCCCCTAACCCCAAACCCCAAACCCCAAACCCCAAGCCCTAAACCCTAAACCCTAAACCCTGAACCCCAAACCCTAAATCCAAAACCTGCCAGGCCGCCCGTGCCGCGCACCGCGCAGTAGCCGAGGAGGTGGGGAGATCGCACAGTTCCAGAGCCGAAGAAAAGGTTGAGGGCAAAACCTAAACCCTAAACCCTAAACCCTAAACCCTAAACCCTAAACCCTAAACCCTAAACCCTAAAACCTAAACCCTAAACCCCAAACACCCTAAACCCTAAACCCTAAACCCTAAACCCTAAACCCTAACCCTAAACCCTAAACCCTAAACCCTAAACCCTGAAACAGGCGCCCAAGGCCATCGAGGCCATGCGGCCGCACGTCGAGCGCGCGGTCTCCCACGCCTGGTCGCCCTGCGGGAAATGGGGTTTAGGGTTTGGGGGCTTTTCAGGATTTTAAAGGGTTTTTTTTTGTTTTTAGGGTTTTTATATTCGCCCTGTGGGAAATGAGGTTTTGGGTTTGGGGCTTTTGAGGGTTTTAAAGGGTTTCTTCAGGTTTTTTAGTAGGGTTTTCAGGGTTTTTGTGTTTTTTTTTTTTTGGGGGGGGGTTTAGGGTTTTAAGGGTTTTAAGGGTTTTTGGGGTTTTTAGGGTTTTTAGGGTTTGTGGGGTTTGTAGGGTTTCTAGGGGTTGCAGGGTTCAGAGATTTTGGTAGGGGTTGGGAAAAAATGGGGTTTATCGGGTTTTATTGGGTTTCGGCTTGGTTTCAGTTGATTGGGTTTAGGGGTTAGGGCCTCAAGGTTCGGAGTTTAGGTTTCGGGGTTTCGTTCAGGCTCTGTGGGATTCATGAATTGGGTTTTAGGGTTTATGGGGAGGGCTCAGGGATCCCGTAACTGTCAGAACTGAGGCACCAGACGAGCGCCGCGGTGCAAACGGCAGGGGAGGTCATCAGCCAGCACGCGCAGACGGCGGCCGAGAGTGTGGCCATTGCTGCAGAGGCTGTTCAAGACCAGATGCTGGGATTGTCTAGCATTGCGTTCTTGGTAGCATCCGCTTTTCGACCCAAGGCTGAAACCCGGAGCAACCTGCGCCCTTTAAGGCCCCTCATTCAGGACATCCTTAAGGGGGATGTACTGGGGGTGGTAGGAGAGACTCCAGGGGTAGACCTGAAATTGAAGCTCCGCCAGAAGCTGAGGCTCTTCGGAAGCTCCAGCAGCTCGAGCAGGAGCAGCAGCTCGGCGTCTGCGAAGATGGAGACCGCCCCGCAGCCGAAGCTCGGCGTTACATTGTGATTCATTTTCTTTTTTTGCTACAGTGCTTTTGATAAGGGTCCATAACCATAGGTGTTTTTTTTTAAATGAAGCTCTCAACCCCAAATCCTACACCCCCCCTCCAAATCCCAAACCCCGAGCTGGCTGACGCTAAAGCTACCCCATCAGCCCTATAAAAAATGAATCCTCTAAACCCTAAAGCCCTTTCAACCCTCTAAACCCTGCACGCCCTCTCAACCCTCTAAGCCCCATAAGCCCT